ACACATGCCAGGCGAGCGTGCTACCGCTTGAGCCACATCCCCAGCCCACTAAGTTATATTGACAAGGAAAAAGGTACCGCCCCTCCCCCTAATTTCTGTAATACATCTTTCACACCCCCACATTATGTATTGGCAAAAAGAATAGTGAAATATGTGGTTTCTGAACTCAGAATTTTTTTGCTTGAGGCTTACCATTTTTGAAACTAGTTATACTATACTTCTCCTTTAACTGCATGAGCCCACTGGGAGAAGAGGCATTAATCAACCAGAACTTACCCAGGCAAACCAGAACATATGGTAATCCTAGTTATACCATACTTCTCTACTCCTGAATTGTAGTACCTTTGCTAGTAACAGTCCTGTTTGAACAAATCTTTGATGAAAGAAGGTAGTCATAAATAATAGCTAATTAAAGGGAAAATTTAGTTACTAAGAGCTAAATGTCAAAAGGTCAGGAGAAACAGGCACTGTGGTAATTTAGCATCCACAGCAAGTCCTTAAAACACAATTTTTTAAAAAATGACCTAAAATATCATGGTGATGTGAACTTACCTCTCTAGTTGAAGATTTGTGTAAAGAATATACTGCTGTTCTTGCCATTTCCAAAGCAGTCTTTAGAAAAGCCATATCTGTTCCTATGAAAAGAAAAAGAAAAAAAAACCCTCTTATTTACATTTTGTACCTTTTATCAAAGCAGAAGATTAGACAAATAGAATTTAGAAACTTTTTCCTAAACTCCAAAACAGGCACTTCAAATTCTTTCTGCATCAAGTCAGGGTACAAATAAATATCAGAATATTTTATTAAAGTTGATAAAATAAAACCAGAATTATATTGTCTTGGCTAAAAAATAAAGMTAAAGTAAAATTTTAATATTATATCCCATTCTAATGAGTCAAAATCCAGAATCATCTTGGTGGGGTAGGGGTACTTTTTAAAGTATGCATGTGTTTTCCTTCTCTTATTGATTTCCTACCCTCCTTGCCCATAGTACACACAAAATTAATAGCTACAGTGAGTCACTGTTACCAATGAGCACATTCTGAAACACTCATGTGTGTTTAAACATTAAAAACAGGTTTGAGGGCTGGGGATGTGGCTCAAGCAGTAGCGCACTCGCCTGGCATGCACACAGCCTGAGTTCGATCCTCAGCACCACAAACAAAGATGTTGTATCCGCTGAAAACTAAAAAATAAATATTAAAAAAATTCTCTCTCTTTAAAAAAAAAAAAAGATTTTGAAGTAGACAATACAACTAAACTGTGCCTGATCTTCTCACCTACAGAAACTGTGAGTTAATCCACATGTGTTTGAGATAATGCATATTTATTTATTTATTTATTT